GTTTCGGGTTTTACTTGGTCTTCCTGAAGTTCGTAATTGTCATTTTCCGTTTCTTATCCGGTCAGGTGTTGATTTTAATTGTGTTGCTTCTGAGTTATGTGGTGTTGACCGGACTTGGATCACCGGGGATCTCCTTCAGCAAAATGAGTTGCTTCCTCGGTTCCGTCTCTTGAATATCATCGTGTGTGCGAATCTTTATGTCACCACCCATTCCTCGCATATTACTCAGGACCAAGGTTATGTTCTGTATTGTATTCATCACCGACTACCTATTAACCTTCCGGAAATAATTGTTTAAAAAATGATTGGGGTCTCTGAGGGCAGAAAATCTTTGGGGCTTCCTTATGGATGTTTGCTTACTCGTTTTCTCACTGCCCTTGATGTTCTTTTTTTTGATGATGATGAGTTTGCTTACCCTATCAAACCCATTACTAAATTGACAGTCTCTCAGAGTCAGGCTCATGTGAGGAGGAGTGTGTCGGGGGTTGGGAGTTCTGGTGCAGGTAATGATGATCTCCTTGCCGAGGAGGAGGAGTTTGAGGCCGCCAATGCCGGTGCCCCTGATCTTCCTAAGCTACGTCCTCGCTCATTTCGTGGCCAGCTACAGCACTTTGAGCAGTCTGTTACACGTCGCCTTGATGTTTTGGCTACACGTCTTAATGCTTTTGATGGCCGCATTGATGAGCAGAGTGCCATGCTTGCTCAGATTCTTTCTCTTCTTCAATTGCAGCAGCCACCATCTTCTCCTTCTTAGCTTTTGGCATATGCTTCTCTTGGACAGTTTTTGTTCTTACTCTGGATAGTGTTTTTTTTTTCTTTTATGCTGCATCTACCTGTTGTTGTTTTTGGGTCACTCCCGGACAAAAAGGGGGAGTAGTTTTGAGTTGTACTCATGATTTGTTTTTTGCAGATGAGCATTTGGTAAGATAGCAGCATCTATAGCTAAGTTAGGATAATATTCATGAATATAATTCAGACTTCCTAAAAATCTTTGTAATTGAGTTTTTCTTTTATTTCATCAGGAAATTTGGATGCAAATTCCATGCTTCGGTTGATCGGAATTATTGTGCCATTATGAATGTTATGGCCTAAAAATCTAACAGTAGTTTGAAAAAGTAGCATTTTCGGTGCGGATATGACCAAGCCATTTCTGATAATAACATGTGTTAGGTCTCTAAGTCTTGTCAATTCCACGAACAAACTTGTGTAATCAAGTTGTAATTTCTGTGCTGTTTTGTGTTGCTCGCTCGAGCGAAGAAGGCCTCGCTCGAGCGAAGGACTGCGTCTGACTGCAAACCTGAAAGAGGTCATTGTGCGCTCGAGCGAAGCATTGGAGGCTCGAGCGAAGAACTGCGTCTGCATACAAACCTGAAAGAGTTTATTCCTCGCTCGAGCGAAGACTTTATGGCTCGAGCGAAGGTACTTATGGAAGTCACACGAGATAAGCTTCTCGCTCGAGCGAGATAAGCTTCGCTCGAGCGAGCTTCAGAATCCGGAATTCTATAAGTAGTTGGTTTCTCCAAACTTTAGGATTACTTTTTTTAGATCTACTTTGAGATTTTCTGAGGTTTTCTTGTGGAGAGATTTTTGTGAGTTTTCCTTGATGTTTTGAGAAGAGTTCTTCACCCATGATCTAAAATACATACATCAAGGAGTTGGTTACTTTAAATTCAAGAGAGAGTTCTCTTCAGTGGATTCCGAAGATTCTAGCGTATAGTTTCAAAAGGCGTTTGATTCTATACGTAAGTGAGGTTGTGGAATCAACTTCAAGATTGATCAGTTCCGAGACGAAGTCGTGGAGAAAGAGTTACAGAAGATTCGAAGACAAATTGACTGAGTTGGGTAATTTGTATGTTATCTTTGTAATCTTTCTTTTTTCAGTAGTGGATTGATTAGTGGCGTTTCGCCCGTGGTTTTTTAATCACAGTTGGAGGTGTCCAATTGTGGTTTTTTCCACGTAAAAATCGTTTGTGTCGATTTATTATTTATTCTGAAAAACAAACAATCTAAATCACTTTCGTAAGTGCTTGTTGATTTAGATTGTGTGTTTTGGATTTTTGGAATTTGAAATATTTTAATCTTGATCTAATCACGAATCACTTAGGATTTTCAACCCAGAATCTTGAGTCCCTTTGTATGGTTCTGTGAGATTTTATTTGCAACAATGCACCAAAATACAAAAGAAAATACAAAAACACAAAATAGAAAATAAAAAAGGAGCATAACACCAACCCATATAAATTGAAAGCTGCATTAAATAAAAAATGAAAAAGAAACATAACACACAAAAAAAAAAAAAAGAGAGAAGCCCAAATACATATCAGTTTATGATTTAGAAACACAAGTCCAACACAAACACATATCAGTTTAAGGTTTAGGAAAACAAATACAAATTCAAATCTTAGAAACACAAACCCAAATTGATATATATCAAGTGTCTCTTTTGCTTTCAAAAACCGAAGTTTTACTTTGATTCCAACGATTTTGACTTATCCCCTGTTTATTTTTTGACTTTATAATTCAATTTCTTTGTATGCTCTGTTCTAAAAACTTGAAGTTTTGACAACTTTTAATGATTTTGAGTTAGATTTGACTTGATTGCATATGATTTCGACATTAATTTTCAATGCTCTATTTCAACTTTTTCTGGGTTTTCATTACAAAGTGTGGTTCCATTGAATACATGGATTAAGGTTTAGAAAAACAAATCTTAGAAACACAAACACATACCTAATCACACAAACCTAACACAAACCCAAAGCCAAACACATCAGTTTAAGGTTTAGAAAAATAAATATCAGAAACACAAACACAAACTGAAATCTTAGAAACACAAATCCAAATACATACCTAATCAACAAAAATAAAAAATCACACAAATCCAACACAATAAAACAATTCGATGAAATGATTAAACGTTGCGATGCTAGACGGTCAGAGTAAACCAATCTGCCGGAGTGAACAATGGCAACCGAGCTACAGGAAAACAATGGTTGGAGTGGTTAGAGTGAGAAATGGAAACAAAGAATTGGAGAGAGAGAGAGAGAGAGAGGGTCTGTGTTCAAATTTTGAAATTTGGAATAGAGAGACAGATTTTGAGATGAAAGGAGTAGGTGTGAGAGAGATACATTTTGAGATATTTTGGGACTTACATTTTGTACCATTAGATGTTGATGGTAATTAAGGCAACAGAGTTGTTGATATGCTGGCTAACCTTGGAGTGGCGCAGACTGACCATGTGGTAATGCTAGAAGATCCTCTCGAAGCTGTTAGAGCTCTTGTTGTTGAGGATATGCTTGGAGTTGGTACTGTGAGGGCTTAGCCCTTGTTGCCCTGCTTTCTTTTCTGTGTCTTTTTGCTTTCATCTGTATCAAAAAAAAAAAAAGATGTTGATGGTAATTGATCTCAACCATTGAAATGTCTAAATAGAACAAATGGGAGTAAGATATTTTTAGCCATTGGATTGAATCAATCTAATGATTCACATATTGACACATACATTTTGAGCCTTTGAATTCAAACCAAGCCTTCCATTGTTATATAGATTTCTATAAAAAAATAAAAATAAAAATAAACCCGTCACATAGTTTGTCATAGGTTAAGCATTATTCGTGAATTAAGCTCATTATATATTCATATTTCAAATTCTTACTTATTACCACACGCTTTGGAACTTTTGTCCGAAAACTAAAGAATCCATATTGAGATAAAGACAACAATTGTAGACATTATTGTTGAGATCAATCCAAGTATTTTAAAACAAAGAAAATCCTGAGACAATAAAAAAGCACAAAGTAACAAATAGATAAAAGGGTGAGTGTGAGTAACCCCATACCAATCGGTGGGCTTCACATACCCTTTATCTCTATTTTGTGTATGTTTTTTTTTTTTTTTTAATATATATAGTTTTTTCTATTTTGTCTATGGTGAAGTTCATTGTCAAAATATTAACAAGAATAAAAAAGAGAGAGAATGAGAAATAAGAGCTAAAATAACGGATGTTATAACTAATTATGATAGCTAGCTTTACTCCATAAATCCTCTCTAGAGGCCTATCAAAAAGCCTGCAAAAGATAGAATTATCAGACTTTTTGTCAAATTTGGCACAAAGTTTCACAATGTTATTTGTCCCAACTCCGCTTAAGAAAATTTTAATCAAATGATTTGAATGTGTGACATCTAACCTGCATAAATAAACACAAGTCTTATTAATGTGTCTTAAGACACATGTTAATAAGTTTAAAATGACTGTACATTTTGTATTTTAACATGTATCCTTAGGGTACAATTTAACATAATTTAATAAACATTTATCTAGATATGGCAAAATGAAATTTACACTATTGGAATAAACATTGTTAAAAAATAAGTATTATAACATTTTGACAACAACCAATGGGCTCCACAACTGAAATAAAAAAAACAAAAAAAACAAAAAGCCAAACTACACAAAGCTATTGTGTCATGATTTCCATTGATTCAACCATTGCAATTGTCTCCACCCATCTAAGCTACTGCTAAATTTAATATTTCAAATGTTGACAATAAAAATTGTGTGCAGAGCAAATAGTTTTCTTTTAATAATGCTATATTTATATTATATTAAGCTTATTATTTTATTTGTCAACACAACATTTGTGTAATAAGTCCTACAACTTGTGTATATTTCTAATGCAACACAAAAAACTAAACTAACACATTAAATAATAAAATAAGATCGTAAAAATAAATAAACATTATAATATTACTCATTTTCTTTTTCTTTTTAAAATTTTGTCCCTCAATAATAATATCTATATTGAGGAATTCGAAATTGCTTGTAAATAGGTACTTAAAAGGAATTCAAATCTAAATAAATAAGAATTAAGGGTAGTTTCGGCCGTTAAATAACTGAATAAATGATATTGAAAGGATAATACAGTCATTTTACCATTGGATACGTTCACATACATGCCTTATATATAGTCTGGTAACGCATAGATGGCTCATGCCTTAAATCACCGAAAACACTTGCTTGGCGCCAAAATTTTTATTTTAACGGTCACATTTCAGTGTAGAAACAGAGAAGCAGATAGTAGAGAGAGAGAGAGAGAGCTATCAATCACACTTTCAATGGCGGATTCATCACATGGTCGTGCGAGCTTCAGCAATCAAGCCAATGCTTTGCTCAGAAAAAACTTGACTTTTCAGGTCTCTCTCTCTCTCTCTCTCTCTCTCTCCAGTTTTGTATTTAGGGCTGATCTGTTTAAGATTGCTTTGTTTTGCTTCCTTTCTGATTGTTTGCTTTTTTTTTCTTTCTTTTTTTTTGGGAATAAACTACCAATAGCACCTAACAGTAAAATCGTCGCTACAAATAATTTTTTGTGATAATTTTTTGCATATGTCGCTAAAAATTAACAATTAACTTTTTTTTTCAATTTTTATAAATTGTCGCTAAATATAACGAATTTTTCAAACTGTTGTTAAAAGTTGAAAATTAATGACTTTCTTGAGACAATTTTTTTTACATGTTATTAAAACTTATAATTAGTGACATTTTTTGTGACGAGGTTTTCAAACTGTCTCTAAAATTAACAATTAGTATCTTTTTTTTTTTGATAAAAAACGCTATTAATTATCGTAGAACCTATTGAAGAATAAGTATACATGCAAGTCCATATTTTTTTAATTTTATTTTTGCTTTATGGATTTGTGTTTACAGTTGATTGGTTAATTACTTGATTATTAGAGCTGATAATATCAAATTACGTGTTCATAATACTTGAACTCATTATTAATTCATCGAAATTTGATCTGTTTGTCGATTGAGTGATCTTTAACACACACACACACACATAATTGATGAGATTTCAGGATTGATTGATGTTAAGCCCTAATGATTTGATTGTTTGGTATGTGGCACGAGTGTTTGAAATTTTGAATTCACTTCTCAGAAAATTTGAGCTTGAAAGGAGATAAATTTAGGTTGAATTGTGAAAGTAGCTTTTCCTGAACTTCCCTAGGTAGCAAAAACTTAATAATTTCAATAGTACCAGAACTTATGGGTTTTACAAGTATTTATCATGGATTTTTGTAATGATATCTTCATATATTCTTTTTTCTTTCGTTTTTTTTTTTATTATTTTCTCTTTGCAGAAACGAAATATCAGGGCAAATCTTCGGCTCATCTTTTTCCCATTTTATTTCTGCTTGATACTTGTTTTGGTCCAAACTTTGGTTAACAAGGAACTGGATAAACCCAAAAACAAGTGTGGGTGCACTTGTATTGATACCAATGGGGATGGTAAATGTGAGAGGGTGTGTGGGATTGAGTACTCGACTTTGGATCAAGTGAGCAGCTGTTCCATTCCTAGTCCCCCAGAGTGGCCTCCCTTGTTGCAAATACCAGCTCCTGAGTTTCGTGCAGTTAGAACCGATTTTCTTTCATTCACAGACTTGCCTGATGAGTCTTGCAGGAGTTCGGGGTCCTGTCCTGCAACTATTCTTTTTACCGGGAATAATCAATCTCTTGGACAAAGTATATCCTCTCTCTCTCTCTCTCTCTCTCTCTCTCTCCTCTATTTGTATAATGGTCCCCAAAGTATATGCTATGTTACACTTTAGTCCCTGACATCAGCGCCATTCAAAATTAGTAATGGGAGGAGATATATTTTTATAATTTTACACAAAGCCTCAAGAAAAGCAAAATGACCAGATACACACATGGTCTGAAAATGTGCATTTTGTAGAATTTTGGTTCTTAAAATATCTGTTTTGTTTCATTTTAGTCTATCTTGCATTTTTTTGTCCTTATTCTTTTAATTTTGTTGCATTTTTATTTTTTTTTCTAAAAATTTGAAAATACTCCTCCCACACTGATTTTGAACTGTGCTATTGTTATGGACGAAAATGTAACGAATTGCATACTTTAGGGACCAAAGTGAAACAATTAAAAGATTGAGGACTAAAGTATAACAACAGAACACGTATAGTAGGGACCAATTGTGTAATTAACCCATCTTATTTTATTGCACTAAATGATTATTTGATCAACAAATCTTGTTAGGTTTGGCTGGAAATATGTTCCCTAGTTCTTCCACTTTGAATTCCTCTGATATTTTGTATAGCTTAGCCAATGATGTATCAGTAAGTTGTCCTTTTTTATTTATTTATTTACTATTATTATTATTTATGTTTTCTTTCTTTCAAAATCTTAGTTTCCTTGTTATAACAATATTTGTTCATATCCATCTTATTTTCTCTTGATTTTTATTTTCATTTTGCTGCTAATATGAATCTTTGAAACATTTCAGGGATCAGAAACAATGACTGGATATTTCAATTTTCTTGACCCAGCTTTCTTTTCAAATTATCCACTTTATCGCCTCCAACAACAGTGCTCTACAAATTCTACAACTTCTGTTACAATCCAGATTACATCCATTTCAGCACCGGCAGGTATAAATCATATGAATAGGAACTCCAATTTTGTTATTGTCATTAACATATTTGAGATTCACATCTATGTCACATCACACGGAGGCACTGGACACATTTAATGCTTTTCAGTCACAGTGACACAGCATACTCAGAGAACATAAACAAGAACTAAGCTGACTTACAGTAAGGAAAGCTTCCATTTTGTATCATCCTATCGTGAAAATCTTTTGCATGATTAGTAGACCTCTAGGAAACTCACAAATTAAAGATTGGTATTAAAAAAATGTACAAACACCAGTATTGGTTCATTTCTGAGACCTACGCCTCGGACTTATATTTGGCATATGGACCATGTTAAATTATACATTGTTCAATATTCTCTTGTTTAGTACAATTTTGTCCAATTGATATTTAACCAAACAAAAAAAAAAAAATTTTGTCCAATTGATCCCCTCAAGTGTGTGTGTTTGCATTTATGTATGTAATTTGGGTAGAATCTTTATGATTTTTGTTTATTGGCTTTTTTTCCCTTGAATTTAGAGATTAGATGTGCTCAAGGTCTACATTTGTGGCGCAATAATTCTTCTGAAATTAATGATGAGCTATATAAGGGATTCTGGAAGGGAAATTCAGAACGGAAAATTGATGAGATGGTAGCAGGTGGTCTGCTAAAATATTCCTTACTACCATGTTATATGTTATCATATGAGACTAGGAGTGACCTTACTTGTGAATTTTTTGTGGCAGCCTATGATTTCTTGAACTCAAGTTTGAATAACTTCAATGTGAGTATATGGTACAATTCTACCTATAAGAATGACACTGGCAATGGTCCTCTAGCATTGATGCGGGTTCCTCGCTCAGTGAATTTGGTATCTATTCTGAACTGGATAACTTAACTACTTTCCTTTTCTTCTATGTAATCTTTGCCGGTTACAAAATCTAATTCAATTTATTTTTATCTCCTTCTTTCACTTTCATTAAATAAGTTGGTCATAAAGGTGTCACTACAGCTAAAATATTGACTACAAAAATATAAGAAATGTACAATGTTTTTGCAGAAGAGTAAAATACTGTAGTCGTTATCTGATGCCTCTTGATTGATTTCTAATCCATGAATATAGGTCTGTGTTACTTTCACTCACTTTTGCAATTTTGGTATTTTTTTTCTCTCAAAATAAAGTTCACTTGGTCTCTTCTGGGCTTGACAAATGTTTTCGCTGAATATGTGCTTGACAACATAAAGTAAAAAAACTATGTAAAGTAGTGCTACCTCCATTTGTTTTGGTAGAAAACATTGTCTGGAAAAAATTTTCTGTATTTTTTGGCGTTTGGTAGAATAAAAAACAAGGCTATTTGGGAACAAAATCTTTTCCATTTTAGAAAGGCAGAAAATGTTTTCCGGACTAAAGTTTTTCCAATGTCACCACATTACCACTGCCACCATCACCTCAACCACCATAGCAGCATCACTACTATCACTGCCACCATCACCGTCACCATTACCACCCCACCACCATGCCACCATCTCCACCTCCACCTTTGTCCAACCATACATAGAAAAATGTTTTCCGTTAAAAAATGTTTTTTGCCCAAACAAACGAGCGTAAACGAAAAGCAATGAGAATTATTGGCTTTTACAATTCATACATGTACAGGTCTCAAATGCCTACCTCCAATTTTTGCTTGGCCCTGCTACAAATATCCTATTTGATTTTGTCAAAGAAATGCCCAAGCCTGAAACCCAACTCAGGCTGGATTTCGCTTCTCTCCTTGGACCACTCGTCTTCACATGGGTCATTATCCAATTATTCCCTGTAAGTGAGCAATTATTATTATCATTTTTTTCACTAATAGTGGAGTTTGGTTGAATTAGAGCCATTTGAGCCATGCATGTTCTTCCAAAGTTTTATTTAGTTACAGTTGAAACTTTAAGCTGCTCTCAATTATTGATCATTACCTAAAAAGCATGGAAAGAGTAGGGATATGAATATGGCATCACAGGAAAACATGCCAATACCACAAACCATGCAAAAATAAGATATGAATGCAGTGGGAAACAACAACATTCATTTTTTAAAGCAATTATGTCGGGAATTTATCAATTATACTCAGTTTTCAACTAAGGCTACTAAAAATCATGTAAAAAACCAACAGTTTAGACAGAGATAAACTTAATATCAGATTTAACACAATTTTCATGCTACATGTCACATATAAGAAATGCTTCAAAACTTTAAAACCCTTAATATGTTTTTTTACATGCATGACACGACAAGTGGGTGACAGTCTTAAAATATTTAAGTTTATATATTTTTTGGATGTCATACATATGAATACTTTATTCAAAGATAAAAGGAAAAAATACTACACAACATTAATTTCTAAAGTTTAAAGGAGGGATTAATAGGTATAATATCTACATTTTTTTTTTTTAATCATTTGATCCTAAGTTATTTTGTTAAACTTGTAGTGTGTTTCATTTGTATCTAAGTGATGGACTCGTATGCCCCCCAGGTGTCTGTAGCATGTCTAGGTCAAAAAAAGTTTGAAAAAATAATAAGATACATTTGGAGAAGTGTCCAATGAGTGCCCATGTCCGACACAGAATAGATACATCACCTTCTTAGAAGTATCCGTGCTTCTTAGGATGGTATGTGTCATGTGGACAGTGAAATGATTGCTTTAATTTAGGAAGATGTTTTTTATTTTTTTTAATTGCTTTAATTTATATATTATAATTGCCTTCAATCATTTTTAATTTTAATTTTCCTTTTTTTTTTCTTTTTTTTAAATCTAGGTCATATTGACATCTCTGGTTTATGAGAAGCAACCGAAGCTAAGAATCATGATGAAAATGCATGGGCTTGGCGATGGCCCTTATTGGATGATTTCTTATGCTTATTTTCTTGTCATATCTTCAGCCTATATGTTATGTTTTGTGATATTTGGCTCAGTTATAGGTAAAAAGACAACAAATGAACTGTTTCCCTTCTTCTAACTTTTAATCAAGTTGCTTTAATACAGCTGATTTCCATGCAGGTTTAAAATTCTTCACACTCAATGATTACAGCATCCAATTTGTGTTTTATTTCATCTACATAAACTTGCAAATTTCACTGGCTTTTCTAATAGCTTCCGTTTTCTCAAATGTGAAGACCGCTGCAGGTTTGGTCTCAGATAATTGATTTTATTCAACAAAACGTGTCAAATTCTTTCCTTTTTAGTTGAACAATAAGAGATGCTGCCTGTAATTTGATGATCACAGCTGTAGCATACTTTATCGTCTTCGGAAGTGGGCTCTTAGGAGGCTTTCTTTTCCAGTTCTTTATTGAAGATCCATCATTCCCAAGTAAGTAGAAGGAACCTTAATAAAGATTAAGCTGTAATTCTTGTTCACCAGATCTTGCATTTGTACTCTGCCTTCCTATCCATCTAAGCACATATCATTTCCTCAAAATTCATATTGTTGCTAGATACCCCATCTAAACAAGTTAATTTTAGATCAATGCATTTATGACTAGTTTTATTTTTAAAATATTTTAAAATTGGCTCAACTTCTTTTTTAATATTAGGATAAAAATAAATTTCTTTTGACTCCTATGTCTAGAAGGAAGAGAAACGCATGCATAACAAATTTGGTAATTCTGAAAATTGTAGCCACTTTTTGGTTTGTGTATTTGTGCCAAAACATACTCCACCATAATGGGTTAAGAAGGGTTTCCAACTAAGCAACAAGAAAGCCATTGCATTTTTAATTTTTGTGGCAATGTGATGCTCCAAATTAGTGATGGCTTCTAAGGTTGCACAGCACAACTTAGAGATGAGGCTTATATGACACTTTTGTTACTGTGTTGTTTTGATTGTCCAAATGAATTTGACAGAGAGGATGAACACAATCATCTAATCAGGTTGAGTTTCGTTGGTACTTCTGCTTTTCTTCCATATTCTGTGTTGTCTTTACATTTGTACTTTTCATAACTCTAATCAACACGATATGTTTCAATGTTGCAGGAGGCTGGATTGTTGTTATGGAGTTATATCCCCGCTTTTCTCTATATCGTGGGTTATATGAGTTTTCACAACATTCCTTCATGGGAAATTATATGGGGACTAAAGGGATGCGCTGGGGAGACATAAGTGATAGCAATCATGGGATGAGAGATATTTTAATAATTACGTTTGTGGAGTGGTTGGTGGTTCTGTTTGTTGCATTTTACATAGATCAAGTTGTATCATCAGGAAGTGGTGTTGGAAGAAGTCCTCTATTTTTCTTGGAAAAGTTTCGGAAAAAGCCTTTGTCATCTTCATCCATGAGGAAACCAAGTCTGAGAAGGCAAGGATCTAAAGTTTTTGTTCAAATGGAGAAACCTGATGTTGCCCAAGAGGCAAGTTTTTCTTGGTTATGATCTGTATTCTTATCTTTTAATTTAGGAAAAGGGTATTTGAAATGGAATGATGAAAACTTTATTGACTAGAATACAAAGCAAGTTGCTCTCATTGCTCCAAGATCTCTTATGCTTGAATTTTAGACCCTTGATCTGTCTTTACTCTCACTCAAATCAGTCTCACGATTATATTACCTAGATATAAGAGACCTCTTGGTGATGTGTAAATTCATGTCCTCAATGGGTCTGCGTTAAACCATCTAACATTTTTAAATTTTTATTTCAAGTGTACCTTTTATAGGTGCATTCTTGATTTTACTCACTAGAATGTCTAATGTTTGTTCATGATTCCACTTGTTTATGTTTCTTTTTACCTTTTTCAGACAGAGAGGGTTGAACAGTTGCTACTTGAGCCAACAGCAAGTCATGCTATCATCTGTGATAACCTCAAAAAGGTGTATCCAAAAAGGGATGGAAACCCTGAAAAATATGCAGTGAGAGAGTTGTCACTTGCTTTGCCTCAAGGGGAATGCTTTGGTATGCTTGGCCCCAATGGTGCTGGCAAAACCTCTTTTATTAATATGGTCAGTATAAAATGGTCTTGGATCTGCAAATGATGTACTTAAGTGACTTCTTATTTCTTTTCTCTCTTATGATCAAGTGTTTCTCAAGGAATTAAAAAAAATGGGTTCTAAATTTGTTATCACGAGGTGTTGTCTTGATTGGTCATCCCTTTGTCATACATGCTTTATTTCTATAGCAACCATGGTTCATTGCATGAAATCATTCTGGAAAGGGATATATTCCTTTTATTTTTTGGTTTTATTTATTTATTTTTGCAATACTTTCATATGTTTTTGTTGATAGATGATTGGGCTTCTAAAGCCAAGCTCTGGCACGGCATATGTTGAAGGTTTGGATATACAGACCCAGATGGATGAAATATATACCAGCATGGGCGTATGTCCACAACACAAGTAAGCACAGATATTCTTCAACTTGAAGAAAGTAGTTTCACTGGTCCTTGTTTCCTCCAATTTTGGAAGTCTGACTAATTTCGTGTTTTTTTATTTTTTTATTTTCATTTCATGGACAATTATACAGCCTACTCTGGAAAAATCTAACTGGAAGAGAGCACTTACTTTTCTATGGAAGGCTTAAAAACCTTCGAGGGTCTGCATTAACCCAAGTAAGTAGACATTGTATCTCTCAAAAACATTTCATGTCAATTTCTATTTGCATTTGAGAACAAGTGTTGTATCACTGTATGTTGCTTTGCATCATCTGATTTATAGAAAGATGAAAATAAATTGCTGAAATTGATATGAGCTCAAGTGTATTGACTTCATAAAAATGATAGTAATGCTTTATTTTGTAGTCATCCCAAGCAAGAAAACTTCCGAATTTTTTTTCCTACTATCATATTCGTTTGCTATAGGCAGTGGAAGAATCTCTTAAGAGCGTCAACCTATTTCATGGAGGGGTTGCTGACAAACAGGCCGGGAAATATAGTGGAGGTATGAAGAGGAGGCTTAGTGTCGCCATTTCACTAATTGGGGATCCGAAGGTATGTCTGAAAATCTCCATATGATCTACTATGCTGTCTAATCTTGTTCTAGTACTACATCTCTTGACAATTGATAAAATGTCTAATTCTTCTAAATTTTGCAAAGGTTGTCTATATGGATGAGCCTAGTACTGGACTAGATCCAGCTTCAAGAAAGAGTTTATGGGATGTTGTGAAGCAAGCTAAACAAAATCGAGCAATCATTCTCACTAGTAATCTCTCTCTCTCTCATGGATTTTTATTACCTGAAGATCTTTTCTTATATATGCTAATTTTGTACTATCCCATCAAACAGTTACAATTTTATTTCCCAAGTACTTTCATTGACATAGCTCACTCAAATGATTTCAGCACATTCAATGGAGGAGGCAGAACATCTGTGTGATCGCCTAGGAATTTTTGTTGATGGAAGCCTGCAGTGCATAGGAAATCCCAAAGAGGTAATTTTGAATTATATAATGTTAATTTGTATAATATTTTAGGTATAGTCACCATAATTTCTCAATAAATGATATAGTGTTGTCACATCTTCAACAATATATACCCACTTCTCCTAATTAGATTTTAGGCTGTTCTTATTAAACATGTACTAATAAACAATATTCTTGTTTTGAATGACAGTTGAAGGCTAGATATGGAGGGTCTTACGTGTTCACAATGACGACAACATCAAATCATGAGGAGGAAGTGGAGAACTTGGTACAACATCTGTCCCCCAATGCTAACAAGATATACCATTTATCGGGGACTCAAAAGTTTGAGCTGCCAAAACAAGAGGTCAGAATTGCAGATGTTTTCCAAGCAGTTGAGAATGCAAAGAGCAGATTCACCGTTCATGCATGGGGTCTTGCTGATACTACCTTGGAGGATGTCTTTATCAAGGTTGCTCGCGGGGCTCAAGCATTCAATGTGCTCTCATAATTCTCAAATATGATCGCCAATATCTCTACTTATATATATATATACATATATGTTTATGTCTGTTCATATGGTTTTATGCATTTTGTGTTTTATGTTATTTTGCTTCAAAAACAGTGTATGTATTGTAGAATTGTATTCTTTAATGGCATTATTATGAATACCCTGAAGTTTGAAATTTATTATTACACATTGATTGAAATTTATTGTTATGCACTTGTGCACTGGTTTCAATCAAATCCTCCCTCATAATTTTGGTGTCATGATCTTGCTAAGCATGACACATCAACAAAATGTTTAATTCAACAACTCATGTCGAACAACATTACTAGGGGTGATTTGGGATGATTTAAATAAATACACTTTTTGACTTTTTATGAAATATGGATTGAGTTTGAAATGATGTGTTAGAGGGGTGATGTGACTTAAATAAGATGATGTGACTTAAATAGAATAGTGGCTTTTTAGCTTTTTTAGATCATGCCAAACAAGGCCTAAATTTTTTTTTTTTTTTACAACATGACAAGTCAACACAAAATTAATCCAATGACTGTGTCAATCTACATTATTACAAAAATACACATTTCAAAATATTGGAAAAACACACAGGTCAAACTTAGTTCTTGGTCATGAATGGCCCCTAAATGTTTGATCTTGCACTTTCACTAATTAAAGGTGCCCATGGGTCAGGTCAGGCTTACACTAGGGCTTTATTTTGTGGGCGCCACTTTGGGCTCACAATAATAATCTGAATGGTTTATCATGTAAATTTTATAGTACAGATTGTCCGTGTAAAAATTCAGTTTCATCAGATACTAATAAATAGATGAACAAATCACATTTTATTTTATAAAGTGGATGATTTAAGTTCAAATTCATAATTCCCATTGTCGTGTTTAATTCAACAACTCATGTCGAACAACATTACTAGGGGTGATTTGGGATGATTTAAATAAATACACTTTTTGACTTTTTATGAAATATGGATTGAGTTTGAAATGATGTGTTAGAGGGGTGATGTGACTTAAATAAGATGATGTGACTTAAATAGAATAGTGGCTTTTTAGCTTTTTTAGATCATGCCAAACAAGGCCTAAATTTTTTTTTTTTTTTACAACATGACAAGTCAACACAAAATTAATCCAATGACTGTGTCAATCTACATTATTACAAAAATACACATTTCAAAATATTGGAAAAACACACAGGTCAAACTTAGTTCTTGGTCATGAATGGCCCATAAATGTTTGATCTTGCACTTTCACTATTTAAAGGTGCCCATGGGTCAGGTCAGGCTTACACCAGGGCTTTATTTTGTGGGGGCCACTTTGGGCTCACAATAATAATCTGAATGGTTTATCATGTAAACTTTATAGTACAGATTGTCCGTGTAAAAATTCAATTTCATCAGATACTGATAAATAGATGAACAAATCACATTTTATTTTATAAAGTGGATGATTTAAGTTCAAATTCATAATTCCCGTTGTCGTACATTCTAAAAAAAACAAATCCAATTTGTTCATGTGTCTAGTGATATTCAATGAAACAATTTTTTTGCACAATCATGTTTACTATTGAGCCTACAAGATGAACTATCATCATGGGTAGTCTACTATGGGTCCCATGTTAATGATCCGAATCATTCATTTTTTAGACTACAACATGTTGATCATCCAAAAAAAAAAATCAAGTTTATTCAATAAACGTAGCCATACTAGTTTATGATATTTATTTACAAAAAAAAAAATGAACGACAAATATAATTTAAAAATTAAACCATTTATTTTTTAGGAGAGAAATGCAATAAGATAACATGACTGATCTATACATTGTGGTCTAAAAAATGAATAATTTGAATCTTCAAGATATAATCCGTGATGGACTCTAGGGCTGAAACATTGGGCCGGAGACAATCTGCCTCCATAGAAAATAGTGGTAAGGATGGATCTTTTTGGCTTGTTTGGTTGTGAACCTTTACTTGCAAGACAAGCAAAGAAATTCAACTGTTGCATATTTTAAATCGATTCTCTCCAGTGTTTTCTTTTCTTCAGCCTTGCCTACTTGCAAGACAAGCAATGAAATTCAACTGTCCAATTTTTAATTCAATTCTTTCTATTGATTTCTCTTATCTAATTTTGTCTTGAAAAAGGTGTTCCTACAGATTATAGGCACAAAATATAAATATTCGGTGTTAATGTTAACATGCCATTTACATGGAAAGGAAAATTTAAAATTTAAAATCACATGCCAAATTATATTTTAAGTATATTTTAATTTTGAAAGGTTTATATATATATATTAATAGAAAATAATAAATTTTTTAAATAATGTGGATTGAATTATTATTTTTTACTCTTAAATAAATAACACTTCTCACGTCACTTTCCCTATTCCAATTTGATTTATCACATTCTAAAATAAATAATCATAAATCACTTTCTTAATTAAATCTGATCCAAACCCTAGAATCACAATACCCAAAATTACATTCTCATCTCAAAACTTAACCTTATAAATAGCAATGTCCTCTTTTTAAAAAAATCGAAAGACAAAAACAACCTAAAACCTTTGTCGCTTTCTTCTTCTGTCTACACTGCAAAAAGGTTAGCTATCTTTCAATCTCTTTTAACTAAAAACTCATCTCTTCTTTGCACAGACAACTCTCTCTCTCTCTCTCTCTCTCTCTCTTGTTTAAGCTTTAGGGTTAGTCCGTTTCTATATTTGTATATATATATATATTATGTGATTGTTGATTCTTTATTAGTTGCAGTGCTTTAATAAATATTCATGAATATTATTGTTCATTGTACAATCATCTATATTAGGTACATAGGTCATGTTTATTTGAGCGGACATGCGTTTGGGATTGGACTAATGATCCAATAAAATTATTAATCCGATGTTTGGTCTCACATATGATGGACTATCCAATCCGGGGGTGGAATATGAATTGGGAGACTAAACCAAAGTCTTAGTTAACTCATTAAAGTATCAAATTAACCCTAATTATATATCAATATTTGTCGACTATTAATCATTCGTTATAATCCTAATTCAATCCAAATGTAAGATAAGATAAGTAATTGAAGGGATTCGTAATTCTAAAATTATTAGTCATGAGAATGCTAATTCAACCTAATCTAATCCGCTTAAACAAATATTAGCCCCGTTATAGAGCCCAAAAGCTTTGGCTCGAATTTGAGAAGGAAGAAGGAGGAAGAAGAAGAAGAAGAAGAAGAAGAAGAAGAGAAGGAGGAAGGCCATCAAAATGGGGTTGGAGGCGGAGGCGGAGGCGGAGGCAGAGGCAGAGGCGGGGCTGCGATGCGACGATTGGCCGATGAGCTGCGACGAGCGACGACGATCGGCCGACGAGCTGCGACGACTCTCTCTCGCCTCTCGCCTCTCGCCTCTCGCCTCTCGCCTCTGTTTCTCTTCTGTGTTCAAAAACAAAGAAGAAGAAGAAAAGAAAGAAAAGGAAGAAAAGAAAAAAAAAAAAATGAAACCCAAAACGACGTCGTTTGGGTTTCGAGCCGAATTCGAGCCACTGATTTCGGATCCTCAAACATTTTTCAACAAATATTGCCTAATCTGATTAAACAAATATGGCCTAGTGTATGTTGTTTTTAGAGAAACGATGAAGGGCTTGACAATTTGGGCTGGTTTTACTACGAATATACAAGATATATTTATATACATAATGTGATAAGGATTCAAAGCTACCATTCCGTCATATTGGTCCCGTTTTTAAGTAAATCATGTAACCAGACTATAATTGAATCATAAAAGCTGGTTTGGTTCGCTTTGATTCTATGATTCTAGATTGTTCTTTTTTCAATAATAAATAACAACAATTTAGTATGGTTGAGTTGGTTGCAACTTGTTAATTTGACAATCCAGATTTATGTTTGAATCTTGGTAACAACTTCAATATTATTGATTTTACATATAGAAATATTAAAAAATAATAAACAGATTTGTATATCAAGGTTCAATTTAGTTTAGAATCACACTGGAAGCCTTTGAATCATAAATTGGACCGATTCAAACGGTTCAAAGATCCCCCTCTACCAAAGCACAAAGCTTCACACACACAAGCACTGTTCTTGAATTTACCTTATTTTTTGTGACTTAATAAACCAGAAATTTGATAGTGTGTTTTTAAAGATGAAATATATTTTTATAAACTGCAATGGGTCCATTTTTTATTTAAGTGTGTAAATAAAAATACTTACAGACTAAAAAATATCATGTAGTCAGTCTTGTGTTTGTGTACTCTTCTTCGATAAATTTCTTTTACTGAAAAAAAAAAAAGCCATTGTTTTGTTATATTTTTCTTATTCTTTGTTGTTCTTCTTCGCTTTCAAGATGCCTTGGAAATGTTTCACTCCATTCAACCATTCTTGTAATGCGCATGCTGATAATTCTATCATACCCAACAACCTAGTAGTACCTTCGGATGATCGATCCTACTTCTACATCAAGATTGTTGCAGAGTTTTCAACACCATCAGTGGAAGATGAAGACGGTCTTCCGACAAATAACCCAGAAAGGATCGAGCATGTCCGGCCATTTTTCGTGCCATATGACCAACTGATACAAAACGAAGCGTCTTGGTATACCATATCAAACATGCTCTCTTCGGTGCATATCCCATTAGATACTCAACCAAACATGTTGCATCGTATCAGCCGGTGTGCTCATGTTATGGCTCGCACAGCTGACAGCATGGGACGCAAGGTACTACCTATGATAGTCAAAATCTACCTTGAGAATTGTGTGTATTACAATGAGGAAGATGAAGTCGATGTTTTTTCGCAAGATTCTATGGAAGAAATGTTGTCGAGGCAAGTGCCTGCTAGTAAAGCTTCAATGGAGGACTTGGAGCCAGTGAGAGCTGAAGGCTCGGGTTCCACAAAGCAATGTGTGATATGTCAGGAAGAGCTCCCGATCGGTTGTGACGCTAAGCAAATGCCTTGCGCCCATGTTTTTCATGGAAAATGCATTGTCAGATGGCTCGAAGTGAGTAACTTGTGTCCACTATGTCGCTTCCAATTGCCTAATTGAGGTGGTCTTTTTTTATTATTATTTTATTATCAGCAAAAGATAAATTTATTGATGAAACTCAGAAGGTCGTACAAACAAAATACATCAATAAAAAGAAAATTCAGAGAGTTGACATTGTATTTGGATTATATATAAAGGGGTTCTCTTTATAAAGGGGTTCCCTTTTAGTAGTCATTGCATTGAATCAAATGGACGATATTTTATCATATAAATGGTTTCTTTCTTGCCACAGCATGATAAATCATTGTGTAAGAAGTACTATCAATAGGTTCAACTTCTTGATCAGTTATAATTTTTTAACACTTTGGTTTCATATATCAAAAATCTACAAGTCTCTATTGATGCTGCTAATAGATATGATACACTTGGCCAAATGGTCATTCCACAACTCACAAAACATTTCCTCCAAAAACTACATTTTTGTATTAATGGTTTCTTGTTTTCTTTTTTTGGTAAGTTGTTTCCACATTCATGTCGTGGATGAAGATGATCTAAACGATGACAAAATTTTGAGTGAGAAAAAAATAGAGATGTTGTCATACGATCAAAGATTCTATCCCTATTCTTTGGGATGAACTAAAAAAACCAGCTTATTGACTTATTTGGATCACATCACCTCTTTACTTTTTTACACATCTTTTGATAATAAACAAAAAAGCCAGCTTATAAGCCATACCCAAAACACTAGGCTAAGAAGTATTTACATTGAAGAAGTAAACCGAGTTGAACACTTGCCAATCATCGTGCCTTTGGAGATTTCATGTGGGCCGGTAATGGAGATCCTCTAGGGGTTAGGGTGTCATGACATGCTGGGGACTTGGCATAGGGACTAGGTATTGTTGGTTTCTCTGAAGGGGAAGATATGAACATACATTTTGGGGACGGGAGCTCTTCTAGAATCGCTAAAACCTCATCCATGTGGGGCCGGGATTTTGGGTCAGAGCTTACACAGTCCATGGCAAGAGTGGCAGCCATGCAAGCTCCTTTTCGAGGGTACTGGCCACCCAACCTAGTGTCCATGATTCGGAATATCTTACGTTTATCGTCCAAGTGGCCTTGTGACCACTTCACCAATTTTTGCTCGATGCCAGTTTTCGTATTATCAACGGCACGACGCCCTGTAAGTAGCTCCAGCAACACAACCCCAAAGCTATATACATCACACTTTGCAGTCAGCCGACCTGCCAGCGGGAAACCAACAGTGTAAGTGTAATGACATCTAAATCACAATATCTAGATCCAATAATTCGAAGTTCAAAGACTACCTAAAGGAACTCATTGGCAACAATCGAAACCTCTCTTAGTAGAATTTTACCTAAACTTGCAACTTTTGTAACCATTCAAAATTTTACCAAAAATTTAGTTCATTAAACAAGTTTGAAATCAATCATCATTGCTCGACTCATTTAGAAACAGAGTGGCAATATAGTACAAAGAATCACCATTGATTGATTCATTTTGGAACAGAGTGGCAATAGTACAAAATGAGTAAGGAAAACTGAAAACAATTCAAGGATCTTGTTAGAAGTACGTGATCCTCTCTTCATTGAAAATATTAAATTCAGTGAAAATAAACTTTAAAACTATAAAAGCAAACACTTTAATCAGCAGTAATTGACTCTGAAGTCTAGCCTAAAGATCTTATTATAACTTCAATAGTATTCAACAAACTATCAAATGTTAAATAAGAATTTGTTAAAACCTATCACCTACTTCACTCACTTAAACCTACTCCACTAAACCTAACCCACTACACCACTACCACCTCCACTTCACCTACTCCTTACCTACTACACACTCACCCTCTTCTATATATAGGAATCATGAATCATTGTAATAAATCAATAAACATCAATCAATAATACATAAATTCTTACAGAATTTGATGAAGTGCAAGGTAAAGAATCAAAAGTTGAACAAAACAGGAACAGTCATTTTGTTGAATCTACTACATTGCACCATTTAAAGCCACCAACAAAATGCTAGCTACGGAAATGAAATATTGGAAATGCCATAAATAAAACTTAGTTATTGAAGCAAAGAAATAAACCTGTAGCAACATATTCGGGGGCAGCATAGCCATGAGTGCCCATTACTTGAGTAGATACATGAGTCTGATCACCAGTGGGCCCAGCTTTTGCCAATCCAAAGTCCGAAAGTTTAGCATTAAACTCCTACATTAAGCAAAGAAGCAAAATAAGTGCCCGAACATTCATTAAATGAACCCCAACAACCCAAGTAACCACACCAGATCTGCAAAGAGAGATGGGTATAGGGGCTCAAGTAACCACGTTTTTTAGCAGTGAAAACAAGTCAAATCTGAATTGACTTAAATCAAGAGGTCAAAGAATCACATGGACCGAGCCCATCCAATCACAAAACGAAAGTAGCGCATTTTTTTTCATTACTGAATCTAGCAGGATGTTGGAAGCTTTAAAATCACGATATATAACTTGTGATTCAGAGCTGTGGAGAAAACAGAGTCCTCGAGCAGCACCTATGGCAACCTTAACCCTTGTTTCCCATGAAAGAGGTTGTGCACTCCCTGAAATAAGGTATCGTTTCAAAATTAGCTATGACAATAGCATTTCTTTTTCTGTTTGGTAAAGTTTTCAGAATTTGTTTTTTGAAAAAATTTCAAAAACTAGTTTGGCAAAAAAATGAAAAAATCAAGCACAATCATTTTTAGAATTTATTTTTGTCAAACTAGTTACTAATTTTCTTTTAAAAAATTCAGAAAACAAGTACTGAAAATTCAACCAAACAGATGTACTTCAAAGATACTGTAAGGGAAAACATTAGAAAAAATAAAAATAAAAACTTTGACTAACTTTTGAATAGATGATTTTCCAAACTTCCCCTGGGCATGAACTCATAGACCAATAGCCGGTTGTCGCCATCCAAGCAGTAGCCAATAAGTTTGACCAGATTTGGATGATGAAGTTGGCCAAGACAATTGACTTCTGACTGTAACCAACTAGCTATTAGTAAATGGAAAAAAAGTCAAAAAATTATGGTTGCGTTTGGATCATGATTTGGATAAGAGTTTAAAAGGAAAGGGAAAGGTGAGTGAAATATGAATGAAATATAAGCTAAATTTTTTTCTTCATTTCCCACTTTTTCCTTTTCCTTTCCCTTTCTAAATCCTCACTCAAATACATGATCCAAACATTGCCTAGGAAGAGGTTAGTGGATTGTAAGAAAAGCCAACCAGCCATTCTTTATGGCCTTGAAAGCCTTGGGGTTTAAGCTTCTTCACAGCAACTACGATTCCAGATCCAGGCTTTGCGGCCGTAAGAGTCTGCTCATCTAGCCATCCTTTGTAAACATAACCAAATCCTCCTTCTCCAAGAAGACCATCGGGACGGAAGTTTCTAGTAGCGTTCTTAAGCTCACTAAATGATAAGGCTTTCACATGGGGTGACGGCAATATCTCACTCTCAGATATTCGACTTGGCAGTTTCCCAGTTCTACCCTTTTCAATGAATGTAAGGATACTCAAAACTGGACGACGTTTGGGTGGACATTTTCTGGCCTCTGAATGAGAAAAACAATGGGATGGTATGTAAGAAGTGGAAATTGGCAAAAGAATTGATCGATATTAGACTAATATAAGGTGTTTAACAGAATCATTTCCAAAAAAGTTTAAATGTCATTTGCTATTGTATATAACAGGCTCATCTACTTTTGACAGTTGGCATGATAACTACTTGTCAACCAAACACCCATCTCCCTGTTTTGTCAAACTAACCAAAACAAGTATCAAAAGTAACCTAGCTGATCTACCTCAAAAATGTGTAGAAAAATAGTAAACATTAATTTTTAGCAGTTATGCCCTAATCAATTGCATAGAAAATCTACTTCCAGACCATTTATAGGAACACAGCATACTTTGACCTAAGACCATAATATTCAGCACCAGAGATTGAGACCACATGCATCAACTAGAAAGTGAACACTAAATATTTTATAGCCACCATTACAGGATCACAATATCAATCATTGTTGCAGCTTCACAGCATCAAGAGTATTAGATGAAACATAATAAGGGGTGGAACCCCAAATCATGAAGCTTTTACAGCATAAAAAACTTCTAGGACTAAACAATATGAATGACTCCTCTTTCTAGTGTTACCAAACTGATTTTATGAATTTCAGTGAATTTGATGTCATCAAATTGCTTAGTTTTAAAAGTCACTCTTGTAAGTTTTAAGGAAACACTGCCAGTTATCGAGCTTGAATACTGTTAGATTTACATATGAGAGAAGAAGAATGAGAGAGAGAAAAACTGATGTTGTATTAACAATAAAATCAATTAGGGTTCTTCCCTCTTACACATGTATTTATAATGAGTGGTGCTATTAGCACTCCATAAATTATTTTGGACCCTCCATTTCTTTGGACCCACACTTATAAATTTTGAAACCCTTAAAATTTCTTTTCTCCCCCCCCCCCATATATTACCAAAATTATCTTTAAACATTCCATCAATTGAATGCACAGCCCCCACACCCCCAAAAAAACCTCCCTTCCAAAAAACCCTAACAAAACCCACTAAGAAGAAGAAGAGACTCATCATTTTCAAAACCTACGAAGAAGAAGAAGAAGAAGAAGAAGAAGAAGATTGTCTTTGCCAGCGTAACCAACTTCCCATATGAAATTTTTCATTGTTCTCAAATCCAAGCTCTTAATTTGAGCCATAATAATCTTTCAAGGATGTTCCAATACAAAACTTGTCTATAGTTATTACCAACCTTACTTATTTTATCCTATCATACAATTACTTCTCAAAGATTAAAATCTCCGATTCTTAGTTCTTAAAACGGTTTAGTTCTTCGAGTTTTCTCCATTCTGGACTTATCCCAGATCACAAAAAATTCAAAATCAATGTTCGGTTACCGGTTACCGAACAAATAAACAATGTTCGAGTCTGTATTCCCAAATTTCGGTCATATGTTCGGGAGTTCAGCCCCAAAAAAATAACGAACATATTTTATTATTTTTGCCATTTTTTTCAAGAAACTTATCCTTACAAGGCCAATCTGCTCTGAGCTAAAAACAACATCAAAACTATGAACCTCCTTTAAGCTTTTATTGATGTACTCCTCTCAACTTATGGAGTTGTGGTTGCCAAAAAAAATTTCACTCATTGTCATTACCGAAAAAATATAGGTAATCAAATGGTTGCCACCGTTATTGCCGGAATATTGCCGCCAATAGGTTTTCAAAGTTTTGAGTGTGGATAAGTTTTGAAGGTGGGATTTGGGAAAGATGGATGGGTAGTGATGGAGGTGGGTGCTCTCATAAACCCTAATTCATGATGTAGTGGGTGTGTAGGTTTAATTGTGAGATGAGGTGTTCTAAAATTAATGATGTCCTTTGTAGTAATTTTATTTGAAATTATTATTGTAATAAAAAAAAAAAAGCTAAAAATTTAGGGGTCCAAAATAATTTATGGAGTGTTAATAGCAGCACTCATTTATAATATAAGACTAGAGAATAAAATGACATAACTACCCTTAGATACTAACACTTAACAAATACTCTTTCTTACTAGAAATGCACTATTATAAGTACAATAAAAAATAAAAATAAAAATAAAATAAACATTAATCTAATTGTGTTCAAATAGTAAAATATATGCTCAGGGGCATTAATAATGTGGTCAGAATTATACCTTCCAAAGTTCCAAAAACACTTTATCAAGTTTTGCTTTGAAGAATAAAAGGTCCACAGAAGGATATATTACTTGAATGTTGACTAACATACGAATCAAATTGAGCATGGAGGATTCCCTAAAAATTGCTATGAATGTTATAATCTCAGAATTGAGTGAAGATCTTTTCAATTTTTTTAAGTCTAAAAAATATGCAAATCTGGCTAAAAAGTAAGAAGTAAAAACTCTAAAACTTAAACTAAGAAATAAATGATAAGTCTTTTTAATCAAAACTATCATTTACAACCTGTAAAAGACACTAATGGTTGTTGTGAGGTAGTCATAGGAACTTATGATGGTCCTCACGATAACACAACAGGGCAATTACACCGTGTATATAATTGTAATACAAGTCCTACAGTAGTAACAAAGGACACTTTCACTGCAACAATAGTGTTACATGACAGTGTTCTCAAATTTTTCATATCATGACTGCCAATCACCCCATGCCAACAAGAACAAATAATCAATAAGAAATTGGTTTTAATTATCATTTGAAAGCAATACACTCCACCTTGTACCAGAATCAACAAGCACAGCCAAAATGTTGAGATGGTAACCAATGAAAACATCATAGTAATCAGTCAGCATGCTACTTATAGATCCGTTTATAGCTTGGAATCACATCAGTTATTACATCATGTTACGAAGAAGTCATTACAACTCAAGTTTAAAAATGAATGAGGGACACAAAAAGCATAAGGACACAAAAATTACTTTCCACACTTGCTATAATGGGGTGTCATGAAATGTAACAGTTGCTACGCCATTGTGAGAAGTGCAATAACTATGACAGTTGTAATTTTTACTCACATGTAATTTTTACTCACATGGATTGATAGGCCTTTATGAAACAATGTTGCATGAGGGTATTAAAAACTAAGCTGCAGCTATCCAAGGACCAAAATTTCTTTTTGGTGAATTGTTTTGGTTAGTACAGAAACGGAAATGTTTCAAAAATATTTCAATGAAGGGAAAAGAAATTGAAAATATATAGAAATGTTCAGCAACATAGATTGAAATATATCTATATGTATAAAAGCCTAACAATTAATTAATTAAACATATTGAGATTTACATAGTCATTCCATAAAATGACAAATGTAAAATAAAAAAGCTAATGTCGAAATGAAACAAAATTGCTGAGCATTGTCAAATAATAGCACAATTGTATTAAATAGGGGTGTTCACGGGTTGGGTCAGTTCGAGTTCACCCCTACCCTATCAACCAAACCGAAAATGTTGGAATATTGATCACCAGCTGTGGATCAACATATTGTTAGAAATCGACCGAACCAAACCTTCGGTTTGGCGGTCGGTTTGGACAGGTCCTTCACACACTAGTCTTCTCTCTAGTCTCTTATTCAAACAAAGCTCAAAATCACAAATGCATACAACTCACATAAATATACAATGATATAGTTTAAACACAACTCTCATACACACCAGATCTGAGAAAGAGAAAGTGGGGGGGAAAAAGATAATAGAGAGAGGAAACTCACGACAAAATTGCACAACACCACCATCATCGCCACTGCACACCACCATGAGTCTTCATAAATCAAAAGAGAGAGTCGAAACTAAGGTTGATCAATCTCATTATCATCATCATCAATTTCAACAATCTGATTAAGATGAGAGTTTTGGTAGATCTAAGAGATTAAGATGAGAATTTTGGTAGATTTGATAAATTAAGATGAGAGTGTTGATAGATCTGAGAGATTAAAATGAGAATTTTGGTAGTAGATGTGAGAGATTAAGATGAGAATTTTGGTAGATCCGAGAAATTAAGATGAGGGTTTTGGTAGATCTGAGAGATTAAGATGATAATATTGGTAGATCTGAGAGATTAAGATGAGAATTTTGGTAGATCTAAGAGATTATGATGAGGGTTTTGGTTTGAGAGATTAAGATGAAAGTTTTGGTAGATCTAAGAGATTAAGATGAGAGTTTTGGTAGATCTAAGAGATGAAGAGGAGGGTTTTAGTAGATCTGAACATCTGAGAGATCGAACATCACTAAGGGAGTTCAGAGAGAGAGAGAGAGAGAGAGAGAGAGAGAGAGAGTGTGGAGACCAAAGGGTTAAGAGAGAGACAAGGAGGCGAGAGGCTTAAAAGAGAGGAAGAAAGGATGGAAAGAGGGGGAGACGACACGGTGAGAGTGAAAAGACTGAAAGAGAGGGGGAGACGAGATGGCAGATATAGAGAGGGTTAAAAGAGAAGGGGAGAGGAGAAGGTTAGAGAGAGAGGGGTAGAAGTTAAAATGATGTCTCAAATGAATTGAGGGCAAGGGACAAGGCTTCTGTCTTTGGAAGATAATCATGGGAATGCAAGGTAATCTAGGGAAAATAAGTCTCTGTCTCATTTAGGAAACGTTACAGGTCCTTGTTGTATAACTATAATGTGGTTGGGCCCAGTTGGGTTAAACGGGTTTTCATACACCAAACCCGTCACCTAATCGAAATTGGAAAAATTCCATGCATTTCAACTACAACATAGCGAATGAATTATCGAAATCATCTGTTCTAGGGTTGGGTTGGACAATTCAATTCGGGTATTTTAGGTGATTAGGATCCTTGAGCACCAAGAGTTATAGTATTAAACATATTGATGGCACCTAACAAAATAAGGTCTAAAAATTACTTAGACAACAATAATAATATAATTAGTTTATTACTAATATAGTATAATATAGCCTTTATATTTTTTTCAAAAAAATTTGTAAAAACATTTACAAAAAATTGTAAATTTGTTTCGATACAACTTATTGTAATATATTTTTTATTTATTTATTATATATATATATTTTCTCACAAAATTTGTAAAAACATGTTAAGTTACCAATTGTCCCAAAAGCTTAAGTTGTTAGGAGATGGGTCTAACAATGTATATGGAACTATTCAACACCTTCTCTCATGGGCAGCCTCGTCTTGCATGTGGAGAGACAAGTAGAGAACCAGAAAGCGAAGAAGAAACCAAATAAGAGATAGAATACCAAATGCAAACGAAGAGGCTTGAACCTTAGAATTCTCTCAACCTGAGCTCTGATACCATTAGGCCTCATTCGGAGAGCACATACTTTAGCCAAAAAGTCACTATAAGTTGTCACATCACTCTCTACTTTTCTGCACATCTTTTCGTAAAAAGCCAAAAAGTTCCTAAAATAGCATGCACCCAAACGAGGCCTAAGTTACTTATTGTCCCCAAAGCTTAAATTGTTAAGAAATGGGCCCATCAATATATATTCAGCTATCCAACAACATCTTCACATGCAATCCTATCTTGCACATGGATAGACAAACAGAGAACCAAATAGAAAGAGAAAACGACAACCAAATAGAGAAGAAGAGACCAAACGAGACCAAATATCAGATGCCAACTTAGAGACTTGAATCCAAGACCTCTCTAAACCTCAGCTCTAATACCACGTTAAGTCACCAATTATCCCCAAAGCTTAAGCTATTAGGAAACAGGCCCAACAATGTATATCAAGCTATTCAACAGATACAATGCAACTTATTGTTTCAATATATTGCTTGTATTTTGGTACATTTCACTATGTTCTAGTGTGTTTTGGTAGAAACACTAGAATTTCATTATTTTACTAGTATTTTGTTTTGGTCTATGGAAACATTTCAGTTGTTTCAATGAAAACATATAGAAATCTTGTTCCTTGTAGCTATCAAAAAAATTATTTGAAAGCATGGTGTATCATTAAAAAAGTGAAAAAGTCATTCTAATTGACTCCAAATTCATTAACCAACCCATTAGTTGACACACCTTTTCAATGGATGGGAGTATTATCCATTCCAAGTGATATAACAACCTCGCCCAATTCATTGCATGACCCAATAGTGAGTTAGATGGAGAACTATATCATCTATAGCTTGGCCATGTAATTGGTAGGTACAATGTTATTAAAGGCACGCCTAGGGGTGTGCCTAGGCTCAAGTCTCATCTAGGCCCAAGGTTTGCACCTTGTAGTGTTCCAGGCCAAGCAACTTCGATAAGGCGAGCCTAGGCATGCGCCTAGGCCCAAGTCCCATCTAGGCCCAAGGTTTGCACCTTGTAGTGTTCCAAGCAAGGCGAGTTCAATAAGGCGCACGATTGGTCCAAGGCACAGTAAGGCCCAACTCATGAGGGCTTTTTTTTATTGCTGTTTTAATTGATTTTGTTTAGAAGCTGACCATTGATTTAAGATGATGCAACTACAAAAGATTCCTACTCTTATTACACATACTAATACATTAGGCATTCAGCCCTAAATCAATGATAGAAGAAAAATAAGCCCTAAGTCCTAATCTCTGAAGAACACTTTACTATACTGCATGCACGCCTTCATTATCCAGTCCAGCAAATCCAAAAATTCATCTTCACATTGTTGTCTTCTTTATCTTCTTCTCTTCTAACATTTCTGTCTCATTCTCTTCTCTTCTCTTCTTCTTGTCTACGTTGTTGTCTTTTCTACTTTTCTTCTCTACGTTGCTATCTTCTTCCTCACATTGTTGTGATGATGGTGCCTTCTTCTTCTTCTTCCATCTTCTTATGCTTATTCTCTGGTCTCCTTTTCTTTCTCATAATTCTTTAGACTGATCTATTTTCCCCCCCCCCCTTTCTTATTCTTCTTCTCCCCTCTCATTTTATTCATGTTTTATGTTAAATTTTGCAATATTGTTCATTTGTCTATGTTAAAATAGTAGTGTTTCTTGGTGTATATATTTTTAAATGTTTAAGATTTCATTTTGCTTTTGTTGAACCCTAAATTATTTACTTATATTAAATTATATTTTTTTAAATACAAGGTGCGCCTCACTTCAGTGAAGCCTGCGCCTAGCCTTGCGCCTTGAGTCTAGGCCCCAGGAGACTTTGGCTACTTGGTGCACCTATCGCCTTTAATAACACTGTGTAGGTAGTCATCCCCTCTTGCCAACATTTTGGTCTCGGTCAACATGTTGTCCTTCTTTATCAACCTTTTTGGTCTCTATGTAAGGAAAATGTCTGAAAATTCCTTCTTTATCAACCTTTTTGGTCTCTATGTAAGGAAAATGTCTGAAAATTCTTTCAAGCTGATTGAAAAAATGGGCATCATTGACTAGTATATGGTTAGTTAGGTGTTAGAAAATCATTCTTGAACCACTGGATAAAAGGTTGTCAACTGTTATGGCTTTCATTAACAATGGAACTATAAAAGTTCCCATCTCCCTTATAGCCTTTCTTTTCCTTTTTCATTTTTTCTCCATACATGCCTCTAGTATATTTAAATTTGCATAAAGAAATGTCCATTTAGGAAGAAAGAGAAGAGAAAAAAAAAAGACAACAACAAATGCACCCCAACACAACATACACCCATTAGATCCTAGTTCTTGTTTAGACAATGGAAACCCTAAACTTCCTATAGGCGGTCTTCATTTATATGTCAAAAAACAATCTAATGCTTTCATTCACATGTATAAGTTTGAGATTATCATTATAAATTACATTTATAATGCAATTGCAATCACTATCATCACCCATACCAATTCAAGCCCATTTGTCCAGTTGACCTATGCCTCCACAAAAATTTCGGGGAGAACTAACTACCTTTGACTTTGAGTGGCTTCACCCCTTGTAACAAACTATTCTTTGATCACATCCAATTAAATTCACCCATGCTCAAGTAATAAAGCAAGGTATTGCAAATTCTTAATCCCTAATTCAAACTAGATGTTGTGTACAATTTGTTGTGCCTTACACAACCAACTAGTTCTATGTTTTTGGTGGGAGTTCACCCCTAAACATAACTCATCCGCTTAATTTCAGCCGCATAACAGGGCAACATACTGCAAATCCCTTTTACTCAATTTAAATCAACGTCTCTTGAGAATCAATGTATCTCCCATGATTCCACCTTAAAAGTACTCATAGCCAATTGGAATGGTAGAATACCACAAATCGTTTTTCCACGTTCAAATCCACGCGTGACCTGATGAAAAAATATAACTTGTATGTTTGAGTAAAAATTCACCAAATTAATTTGTGAACAAAACAAGCCGTAAAAATAGGTACCAAGAGGTATACATATAATCTTAATATGACAATGATTTTAAGTTGCTCCAAACTTAAATCTAGAAATAATTTTCAAGTAATGTCATATTTTATTTCTATATACAATCTTCTCATAAAACTAAATTCCTAATGATGATCCTCGTTTAGATGGGAAATACTGGAGGATTAGCAATGGCATTACTAGGAAACTCACTCACATAACTAATATCGTGTAAAATAATAGATGTATTATTGATTGTTGAATTGATTGATAGATTAGTACAAATGTGAGAGGCTCCTTATATAGGAGATATAGGTGTAGTAGGTGAAGTGGAGGTGGTAGTGGTGTAGGTGAAGTGGAGGTGGTAGTGGTGTAGTGGGTTAGGTTTAGTGGAGTAGGTGAGGTGGTAGTGGTGTAGAGGGTTAGGTTTAGTGGAGTAGGTTTAAGTGGGTGTAGTGGGTTAGGTTTAGTGGAGTAGGTGAGGTGGTAGTGGTGTAGAGGGTTAGGTTTAGTGGAGTAGGTTTAAGTGGGTGTAGTGGGTTAGGTTTAGTGGAGTAGGTGAGGTGGTAGTGGTGTAGAGGGTTAGGTTTAGTGGAGTAGGTTTAAGTGGGTGTAGTGGGTTAGGTTTAGTGGAGTAGGTGAGGTGGTAGTGGTGGTAGGTGATGGTAAATTCTAACAGCCCCCCGCAAACTCAAGGAGGATAGAAACTAACCAACTTGAGTTTGAAGAGAGGAACAAAACAAGAAAATACATAAAAAAAAAAAGAGGATAGGAGACACTGTATGGTCGTGTCAGACCATTGGTGAAGACACTGAATGGTGGTGTCATAACGTTGTAGAGGACACTGTATGGGGGTGTCATAACGTTGTAGAGGACACT